TCAATCTCTTCAGAAGTAAATAATGTTTTTCTTCCATTTTTCCTTTCTTCTTTTGTGTTTGTCAGTTCCTTCAAGTTGTTGTGGTTGTTGCTTTAGATCTTTTTATCCCACCTTTATTATTTTTATAAATAACTCAAGGTGGCGAACAGACCTAATACTCCTTCCTCCTCCTATTTTCCCCACAACAACAATCCTGAGAGGTGAGTGGGCTGAGAGAGAGAGGCTGGCCCAAAGTCACCCAGCCGGCTTTCGTGCCTAAGGCGGGAGTAAACTCCCCGTCTCCTGCTTTCTAGCCTGGTGCCTCAACCAATAGACCAAACTGGCTCTCTTTGACCTTGATATCCATAATAAAGACTTAATGAAAAGGAACTAACTTTTAGTATATGTTTTTCTTTCTGGTGGGGCTAGTGAAGGAAGAAGGATCACCATTTGCCTCTTCTGGAGTAAACCAGGGAAGTGAGGGATTTCTCTGAAGTAAAATGGCTGATGGCAGCACTATTGAGTCCACTCTTCCCCAGAGTTGTGGAGAGATATATTAGTGTTGTGGGCAGTGAGTTCAGAGACTTGGTTGTGGGAACCAGTGGGGCCCTATGCACCACAACCCATGTGTGTTTGTGTGTGCACCCCATTACAGACTTCAGGTTTATTGTCCCGTTTTGCTTCCCAGCTGGTAGATACGAGGGCCTTAAATATTCTATTCAGTGGAACAAGTTATAGCCTAAAAGAAATGCTACACTGAGGATACCCTCAGTGAGGGTACCCTCACTGACCCTACACTGAGGATACCCTCAGTGACCCTGTAAATGACCATCTTCATCTGGTAGTCCTTCTTCAACCATCAGGTTGGAAAATCTATTGAGGAAAATCGTAACACCTCTGGTGTATTCGGTATTACCATTGACATCTGTCTCTGCCACCTAATTCAGAGCTTCTCATATTTTGTGGTACCATACAATGATAAAGGAATTTGTGTGGCTTCTCATGAATAAAATTGCTGATTTCTTTGGGGTTCACTGTACAAGAAAAGTAGAGATCAAAGTCTGGAAGAGGTTTTGACAACATACCTACTTTGCCCGTGCAAGCCTGATCAGCTTAAATATAAAATTATGCCACCACCACCCCGCAGTAAATGGCTCATATCCTCCACAGACATTGTGACCAACAGTTTAAAAAACCTTGGTTTTGGTAATAAATGTTTCTCTGTTGAAAGACTGTGAGGGTCCTGGAAGAAGCAATTTCAGCTTCCTTTTTAAAAAATCTTAAATAATACTTCCCTGTGCTTAGAAGAAGCCAAACACTTCACATGCTATGACATAAAATAAACTGCAATTAAAATAATTAATTTTAGTAACAGAGCATGCAAAAAGTAGTCACCGTACCATTCTTCTTATAGTTTTTTTTCCTGCCTTCGAGTCTTGACTCCTGGCAATTGCCTGGACAAGTTGATGTGGTTTTTTTGCAACATTTTAAAAACAGCAACTGGCTTGCTGTTGCCTTCTTCCGAGGGCTGAGAGAGAGTGACTGGCTGAAAGTCACCCACATGGTCCCCTGGTTTCTAGTCTGTTAAGATATAAGTAACTTCAGTAAAAGGAAAGAAAAAGAGGAGGAGGAGGAGGAGGAGGAGGAGGAGGAGGAGGAGGAAGAGGAGGAGGCGGCGGCGGCGGCAGCGGCAGTAATGGAAGTTTCCAGTTTTCTATTTTTTT